AGATGGAGATGGAGATGTATCTGAATCTGATACTAGTTTTGGGGAAGATGGCAAAGGAGAGCATGTAGGTGGCAGCAGCAGACAGCGGAATAAGAAGCAAAAACCCAAGAATTTATCAAACAAGAATGTAAGATCTCGTCATCATGCAAAAAATAATAAATCAAAGAAGAGAAAAAGAGCAGCCTAGTCCACCAGATTTTGTAACACTCCATCAGCTGGAACTGCACCTTTTTGAGATTTCCTTGTCTGTCAAGGAGGCCATCTAATACAATCCCCTACTGAGCTTTTATGTAATATAAAATGCCAATATTTTTTGAAGTATTTTCATGTTTGGGCGGTGTTGTTTTTTAGTTCAATATGATACATGAACTTGATAAATGTTATAAATTTATAACCATTATATTATTTAACTGTTGATACGATATTTTTGATCCGTGCCATTCGAACTACAAACGAGCCTTTCGAATCTCTGATGGATGCATGATCTTCAATCTCTGAGTAATCTTTAAGGAGGTTTGGAGAATATGAATTTGGGGAGTTTTTGAAAATTATAAATTTTTTAAAAGTTCTAAGATTTAGTAATTTTATTTTTCAAAGATCATTAATAAGTAATTACGTCACGCATCAAGCAATCATTGGTTACAACTATAGATAGAATAACCTTGAAATGACAATGAAATGAAACTTTAGACACACTAAATGATAACAAAGGTGGTGTTCGGTGCGTTATTATATTAAAACTCAATAATTATTTTTCTTCAAAAATAACCTCTTTAACATATTTGTTAGAAAAATACTCTCAAACTACCATATAAGATGACTTTGTGTTCTATAAAAAGTAAAATCAGACCTGTGTAAAATGAAAAACGAATTTCATGCATTTATTATTATTTTTATATGAATCTCGTGTCCTATAAAATACGAGGTCTATTAAACGCAATTTATAAGACACAAGGTAGTTCTACGTAAGCAGTTTAAGGGGTATTTTTCTAATAAATCTGCTAAGGATTGTACTATTCAAAAAAATAATTTATGAAGGTTATTTATATAATAATGCCGGTGTTCGACACCTATTTTGACTAAAAAAAATTAAATATTTAACGTTAACATATAGTTCAGATAGTTATAAAGCCTAATTGCAGCGAATCATATTTCCTAGGCAAAACCAAAATGCTTTACAAGCATAGATATCTCATTGCCGATAAGACATAAACCCCCTAATTTATTTATTGAAGAAACCTTGTCCATTGCGCATTGACAACTCTACCCTCATCAATAATACTGTTTGTCTCTACCTTCTTCCCCATGAATATTTTATAACAGACCTGAATTCAATGGTTCAAGATTCCCCATACAACCCACCATATTCCGCAAGCTCTACTGAGCAAGGAAACCCATCGGCACAGCTTTAGCACGCATGCTTTTATTCAAGTCGTATAACCCATTTCCATGCATCCGCATCTCGTGCAAGGTGATAAACCATGCACCCATTAATGGTGAAGTTTAGGACTAACTTGCTCCCAACCTGGCATATGAACAAAGCTTGTCCAGAAGTTTTTACCTTCCCTTTCCGAACCGGAAAACCTTGCAATCGGTCAATATCCAAAAACTTGAATACCCAAAATCATGTCATGTAATACCCCAAAAATTTAGATAATGACCAAAATGCAAATTTTGAAAGTTTGATGGTCAAAGTAGAAAATTAGGAAAAGTTTAAGGAATTAAGTGTAGATTTTCCCAAAAAGAATGTTATTCCATAAATTGATTTATTTAGTGACCAATTTATAAATTTGGTAAAGTTTGGTGACCAAAGTATAAACTTTGAAAAATTTAGGGACCAAAATGTATTTTTGGAAAAATTACAAATATGTCACGAAAATAAGAAAATAAAAAATATTATTTTCACATTTTTAAAATGTTGGAAAATAATATTTAATGGTTTAATTTCATGTTTAATTTGAACAGTTGGATTAATGTGATTGAATTGTAATTTTTGGAAATTGCACATAAATGAATTTATTTAGTGACCAAATTATAAATTTGGTGACCAAAGTATAAATTTTGAAAAGTTTAGGTCACGAAAATAAGAAAATAAAAATATTATTATCACATTTTTAAAATGTTAGAAAATAATATATAATGGTTTAATTCCATGTTTAATTTTAACCGTTGGATTAAGGTGACTAAATTGTAATTTTTGGAAATTGCAAGGGAAAAATGGTAAAGTGGAAAATTATTTGTTCATCTTTGACTATTGAAAGATGATAAGGCTGATATTTCTCTGATTTGGAAGATGATAAGGATAAGTATCTAGGTTTTATGGTAATTATGAATTTTCATTAAGGGTATATTGGTATTTTCTTAATTTAATGAATTTAATATTCATTAAATGATTAATTAAAGGATGATAAGCATGATATCAATCTAAAATATCATGCCAAAGTGTTCATCTCTTCTTCATGGACGTGAGATAGCTTCCAAGGTAAGAAAATATTTTATTTTCAATTTTTGAGCTAAGTCCTTTGGAATTGGAGTTATGCCGTGAAATAGGAAAATGATCTATGCGAAAAACGCTATCATTTGCTACCAATATTTCTTTCTAATATTGTTGGATTTCAAATATCCCAAATCTAAGGGTTTATGTTCATGATAGGGTTCATGAAATTGATGATAAATCTTGATGTTTTTGAAATTGTAAATTCATTTTCAAGCTTGATTTATGGTTATAACATGTTCAATCTTCCTATAAATAATTCTTTAAAAATTCAGTCAAAAGAGGAAATTGTAGAACTTTGTGTTCTGATGAGAGTTGATTAGATATTTGATTTTAAAAATGTTATAAGGTTGATTGAAAGTTGATTTCAAGCTTGAATCGAATCAAAATCAAGCAAAATCATGAAAATGGAATTTTAAACCATTAGGCCTTGGTCTTAAAGGATGAGAAAAATTATGGAAAATTATATAAGGTCTGGAAATGATGTAGAAAGTATTCTATAAGCCTTGGAAAAATTTGGGGACCATTTTGTAATTTTTAAAAAGTTGGGGTTCCAATTCGACAACTTTGGAAAAGTTGTGAATGGTTGTATAATTGTTTAATAGTTGATGTACTACACTGGAAAATGCTGTTTTGGAATTGAAATGAGTGTTAGATGTGAATTATGACTATTTTGGAAGTTTGAAAAGATTGGTGATTTAAGTACAACATTCGCATAGTTGGAGTACTTAAATGTAATTGTACCTTTGTAAAAGCATTTGAATGGTAATAATTTCAATGCTAGAATTTTTGGTATTAAGAATCTAAGTGATAAAATGGTTAAGGACCATTTTGAGTAAATTGGAAAAGTTTGTTCCAATGTTAAAAGGAATTATTAAGAGTTAAGTATTTTGATAGAAAATGAGTTTCAAGTATATTATGGAGTTATTTTGGGATATATTTATGTTACTACAATACTAACTTATGTATCATTATGAATTTGTTATTTATATAGATTGTGATTGATTTCTAATTGAAGCAAGTCAAGTATAAAAAGGGTTTATTGTGGAACATAGTGAGGCTCATATTTTGGAATACATAAAGTGTCAAGGTGAGTGCAATACATGCATGAAATTATACATGAATGTTTTATACATCATCAGGAAGACTTGTGATAAGTCAACCTTGTTTATATCAGCATGATATTATGTCATTTTTATAATATCGATATGACATTGATATGTCATAGTGTGAAATTATAATGCATTGATCATGAATAATGTGATATTTTACCATGAATATTATTTCGGGTATGAACTGCCTAATTTTAAATGATATTGATATACTTTGCCATGAATGGATTAAATAAAAATAAACTACATGCCCAAATATGTTATTGAGGATCAATGGTATTAATGGCATGCCATAGAATCTAGCAGTTGCATATTAGGTAGCACTAGAGTGTCTAGAGAATGCACATAGTGCAGGCCTCAAAGTGTCTAGTGAAGACACAATACAAAACACTACGGTGTACAAGGTGGGTAAAACCCGACCTCGGCAATACAGTGCATTATTAGGTGAGCAAAGCTCGACCTCAGCACTTCGGTGCAATATTTGACTCCTATACTGGGTTCCTCATACAATTATACTTTGGGTTATGGTTTATTGGTTAATAATTGATAAACAAAAAAATAAGCTTACGAGCTTATGGGATTAAATGGTAAGTATATTGATAAAATAAGCTTCAAGCTTATGGGATAAATGGTAAGTATACTTGTAAAATAAGCTTACGAGCTTATGGGATAAATGATAAATATATTAATAAGAAATTTTATATTACGTTGATCATGGTAAAATATTGGGCATGCATGTAACATGATCTTATGGCATTTGTTTATGACATTGAAATTCATGCTTGAGTTTTATTGCACTGTTTATTGTTTTAATTGCCTCACTAAGTATATATTTAGTGTGTGATGATTTTCACGCGTAGGTAAAAAAGCCAGTAATAAAATAAAGAGTTCAAAGACGACATCAAGCATCAAGGAGTATATTTCAATATCAATAAGACCTCCGAAGATGTAATTTTGACTTAGATAGTGGCATATAATTATTAATGTTCAATTTGATTTGTTGAACAAATTTAGAAACAAAATGATAATTTTTATGAGTTTTACTGTAACAGTAAATAGTAACGGTAGTGTTAACTGTAGCAGTGAATAGTAATAAACAGTACCACATTTAAAAATTTCCAGAATGCTATAAGGTTACCGATACCATACTACAGGTATCGATACCCTCACTGTTCACTGTTCATGATACTATTCATAAAAAAATCTTTTGCCTTAAATTTGTTAAAATGAAACATAATTCATATGATATGATATTTTTATAATATCATTTACCATTTTAAGAAAATAAATTTTAAGTCACTTTTGAATTGAAAATGGTTTTTCGAAATTTAGGTAACATCTATAATCTGTACAGGTATAATTATACGGGTTATGGGTATTATATGTCATATAAAAGTACAATGTAATGTTACATAAACAAACGTGATCATTTTTTAGATGATCCGAAACCGCCAAAACCCATCATAGCTGCCACGTCGGGATCAATTTCAGGTTCCTCTTCTGCAGCCTTCTTCTGAAAGCCAGATAATTAACAATCAATCATTACTTTGACGAGTACATGAAATTCTTACCATCAGGGAATTAATTATAGGCTTTAGGGAACAAACTTTGAGCCGAAAAAAAGCAAGCTTACTAATGAACATTCCAATACATAAAGCAATAATCTAATGGAAAAACAAAGACCAGGTATTCATCAAATCCAAGTACAGACCTTCTCTTTCTTTCTTTCCCTTCGTTGGCGCTTTCGCTCTTCTTCTTCTTCCTGCTGTTTAATGATCCGCTCATCCAGATCTACAAAAAAAGGAGCAGACACATCAAATCATCTTGAACTTGGCTATAATCGAAACCCAACTAGTTGGGAACAGAGACAAAAGTTACCTTGCTCGGAGAAGCTGCCAGGAGGTTTTCGCTTTTTCAATTGTTCAAACCGCTCCTGAACCTGCATGCAGATAGCAAGGAAGTTGACTAAGTGGCTAAGTGCAACTGCTTTTCTTTTGTCCCTAGAATTTATAAGGCTCAGATTTTAATTTTGACAATCTCCAAATATACATGGTCTTTGTTTTAGGAAAAGGACCTTTTTCTCTATTTTCAGATTTAATTGAAGCCCGGTGCTCCAATCACTAAGCATTTTGCTACTAAAATATTAGTACTCTTACTGTTGTCACTGGTCACTCCCAAGGAAGTACATATCTAATAAATTGCACTTTCTATACGTTACTAGTCTATATCAATTAGTAAGAATAAACATTTGTTGGATAATAAGGTTCTAAATTCAACAACTTGAACAAATAAGTGCTTATAATGTAAATTAAAACTCTCCAACTGAGTACCTGTTTAAGGGATGCCCGTTCCACTCGCATGGACATACCTAAAGCTCTTTGATCTAAGAAAGCACCACGAGCAATCAGATTAGTGGAAATCAAATGTGCATGTCTATACATGTCAACACACATCCATAAGATGATAAACAAAGAATATCTAGAATATCACATACGTTTCTTCCCATTGATGTGATCCAAGTAGTTTGCAGAATCTTTTACTACACACTCGCAAACTGAGCAATAGTATCCGGCCTGCAAAAATCCAATTTAATCAACACATGCATCATACAGCCACTTGCGATTTTAGCCATTAGTTCCAAAAAAACTAAATCAGACATTCATTGATGGAGAACTATATACCCTGCTATCAAAATTTTCATTTCCACAGCGATGCAAGCATGCAAGAGTTTCTTTAGCACCCTCATAAAGCATTAGATATGTAATAAATTGGTAAAAGAGTAACGCATCCAAAAAGTCGAAACCAAGTCCATTTATTCACATGATTTTGGCCTTAAAGTAATAAAGTTCGACAGAGCCAATAAAATTCTGATTTTACCAAAATGATTCAAATCAAAAGCTGTGTTACCATTGGGTCAAATGAATCAATGGACATTAACCAGCTTCTCGAAATGCAATTTGCAATCAACAATGAACAAAAAAACAACCAGAAAGCCAAGTACTAATGTAAGTCCGAATGACCAAAATGATAAGAAATTACCTGCTGACTTAAGGGTGCCACTGGAGTAACAACCTGCAGAATGTAGATAACTAATCAACAAGGGTAACATAAACGTGAACTAAGAATAAAGACCAAGTTCAATCCAAGCAATTGTTATAACCTGAGTTTTACCCAGACGAGACTCGAGATCAACTTCATAATCCCTATGCTTCAGGGGTTTCCTCTGCACTGCAGGGCCTTTTGCTGCATATATAGACATTTTCGATTTTCACCATGCAAATCATATTTCTTAAATTAGAACATAAATGTTAACAGTCAAGAAGCTAATGGGATTTAAAAAAAGAATGAATAAAATAATTACATTGGGATTTACTTCGTCCTTCTGCTTCCTGATTCAAAATCAAAATTTAAGAAAGAAAATCAGCAAAATAAATAGATTAAGCCTTCAAATAAAAGAAAAAGAGGAGAGATATCGATAATAAACCTGTTTCTCACGCTCGCGAGCGCGTTCCAAATATTCTTCTCGATCGAATTTCTTTCTGAATGTGTTATCAACACCAATAGCCTGTAGAAAACACAGTTAAAAAAGTAAATACTATGACTAAAAAAAATGAAAACTAAAGTAGAAGAAAAAAAGAACAAATTCTGAGAGAGAAAAATTGTTCTCACATTATTGCTGGAAGCCATTGATTTTGAATCTTTGATCGCTTTACAGAAGAACTAATTAACTAAGATTAATTCAATATTGTTGGGGGGAAAGGAATCAAAACCCTAACAAGTTTAATTTAACAATTCCCGAACTCAGTCCAGAAAGGGTTAAAAAGACAGAATTTGATATATGGATTTGGTTGTAAGGTTGAATTTGATATTTAACTTGATTTTATAATTTAAAGGGTAAACTGTAACGATGATAATTTAATTATTGTCTTTGTTTTTATTTTAATTATTAATTTTTTAATGGATAAATTATGTCAATCATCTCCTTTACTTTTAGTATATCCGACTTTAGTTACTAATTTTTTAATTAAGTGTGTTTGATTCTTAACGTTTTCGGTTCGTTCTTTTCAAGTCATTAACCGAATTCTAAGTTTGCAATTGATTTTTTTTAAAAAAAAAACATGTGCCTGTTCAAACGTTGACTCTTCTTTTCTTCCAAGAGCTGGAGCCATTCACCACTAAGTCAAGGGAACCATAGAGGCTAATAGGCTCCGATGGGAACCAGTGTTTATTCTTACAAAGTGATGTAGGTATGACTTAACCCTCCCAGAAAACAGATACTACAACCATCGAAAACAAACCATCACTGCCCTCCATACATTACTGCCACCCACGACCATTTCAATTTCCCTTCCGACAAAATCATGCACTACTACTCATGATTTTCAGTCATAAAAGACAACCACTACCACCATCAAGAAACCTTCGTTGCAGAAAGAAACTCAAGATAAAGGAGATCCCCATACCAAATATGCCCTGGAAGAAGCCTCCCAGCGAGCCATGTGTAAGATCCAGAGAAACCTCCGATCATGGTGCTTTGAACAACCGCATTGGTAAGATCCAGCAGCGAGCCATGTGTTATTTGGATTTTGGAGGATGAATCCAAGGCTTCAGATCAGTACGGAGAAGATCAATCGCCGATCATCATTCCCATGATGAACAAAACTACCCAAACTATTCTAATCAAGTGTTGATCACCTTGATTAAGATCACCAAGGAGATGATCTATGGAGGATATGAATCTGAATAATGCAAGGCTTACATGATTAACAGGAGGAACATAATTGAAGAATCCTTGAACAAGATTGGATACGAGAAGATCAACATTGATAATGCTCAAAAGATGCAATGGGAAACTTTGGTGAAGGAGATTCCTCCATGGATCACGGCGTTTAAACGATGTGTTAACCTCTACTTATCCGGCGAGCGTAAGCTCGTCGAAACCGTCTTCTCCGATCACGTTTAAACGATGTGTTAACATCTACTTATCCGGCGGCGTTTAAACTATCCAAATTGAGAATGAATGTGCTGCTTTGGGAGTTGCTTCAGAACCAAACGACCCGGATTCGTTGTCGGATCGGATAAACGGCCATTTGCATCTTCTGTGACCTCGAGAATGCGATCCAATCCGATACCAAAACACCACCGGTTCCCAGCAGAGACGTTCATCCCTTGACTCACTGCCATCGACGTTTGGCAAGTACCTTCATCACGTAGCTATTAGCCTCTATAGTTTCATTTAATGGTGAATAGCTCCAGCTCTTGGATGAAGAAGAAGATGATGATGAAGAAGAAGAAGATGATGATGAAGAAGAAGAAACACATGGGTGTTAAACACGTGGGTTTTTTTTAATTTTTTTATTTTTTAATTGTCACGTTATACTTCTATTGATAGATTAACGGAAGTGAAAAGTCGAGGGATTTAAACATGATAAATAGATAACGTAAGAGATCAAGTGCATTTAATTAAAAATCAGTGACTAAAGTCGGACAAACCTAAAATAAGGGTGACTAATAATATAATTTATCCTTTTTAATTTTATCGATTAAACCATCTAACTATTTAGACATCATAATCACATGTGATTAACATTTAATTAAAAAGATGACCTGATAGTTTAAAAATTTGATATAATTATAAATTTAGTCCTCATTACATATAAATTATATTAATTTGATCTTAATTTTAAATTAATTCAATAAATTTAATTCTCAATCATATGGTGACACATGTCAATAATACACTGTCATGACATGTGTCACCTTGTGATTGGATATTTTTCTTTATTTTATATTAGTAATTTTTTATAGAAAAAACACATGATTGTGATTAAATTTATTAAATTAATTTAGAATTAGGATCATATTAATAAAATATATAAATAATGGAGACTAAATATCATACCACTTTCCCCTTTAAATGCTAACGATAGGTGGATGATAATATTTAAATAATTAGGTGACCAAATTGACAAGATTAAAGGGACAATAGTTTAGTGACCCTAAGTATACCCTAACTTAAATTGCTTTAAATAAATGAGAAAGTTAATTTGTAGATTATTCTGAAATGATTTTTTGGCTATTGAATTTTGTTTAAATAATCATTAAATTTCATAAATGATTGCAAAAGGACCATTTTATCAAATAATTATAAAATAATCACTAAATTTATTGAATTATATGACTAAAGGTAGTAGTAAAAGAATGAATATATATAACGAAAATGAATTGTAATAATGGATGATTATTGAAAGAGATGCATGAAATTGTCTATAATGTGTCTGACTCTAAAATTCGACTCAAATGATATGATCGAATCTCGAATATTCCATTAACAAAAGCTCATAAAATCATTGTTATGTCAATTTATAATTAGAGTTTCAAAATATATTTATCACACCTCAAGAACCATATTGGAGGTGTCAAAAGAGCATTTACCTTAAGTTTCACCATTAAAGGAGCTTAAAAATATTTTTTAAACTTTAAATGACATAGCAAACATATTTAAGTCATCCAAACATTTCATCACATGAATCATGATGCACATAAAGACTGAGTGTATTTCCTCTGTCCAATGCAAAAAGCAAAAGAATCCCGACCAATTATTCAAAAGTCGTAACAACTTAGAAAACATAAAAATGAATGAGAAAGGATTATAAAAACTCACGTATAAAACTAAAAGGGGAAGCTGATTTTTAGAGTTATGCCGGAGCTTGAAAAAATGAAGGAAAAAAATATAAGAAGAGAAGAGAAGAGGGTTGTAAGTAGGGGTAAGTATCGAGAGAGTCGATTGCGAGTAGTAGTGGTCGATTCATACTAGTTAAAAACTTTTGTTGCTAGACTTGATTTGTTACTTGTTAAGCTCGTTAAAATTTTGACCGATTAGTGCTCCTTAAGAAAATTTATTGCTCGACTAGTTGATTTTTAAGTTCTTTAAAATTTTTCTCGATTGGTGCTCATTAAGAAAATTTGTTGCTCGACTGGTTGCTCGTTAAGCTCACCAGAATTTTTTATTTTTTAAGGCTTAAATATACAAAATGTGCCCAACGTATGCCTTTTCTTCCAATTTAGTGCCTAACATTTATTTCGTTCCAGTTTGGTGTCTAACGTTTCATTCCGTAACTCAAAATGGGTCAGGCCGTGACAGACTGTTAAGTTTGATCGTTAACCCGTTAAAAAAGTCACCTGCCATTTTTTTAATATTAAAAAATAAATTTTATAATTATAATAATAAGAAATTAAGTAATTCCAATTAAAAAATTAAAAGGTTAAACTTTTAGCTTTTTACCCTTTAATCCTAAATCATTTTCCCTCTCTTCCCCGTCACTCTCTTCCCATTCCTTCTCCTCTCTTTTTCTGAAATTGAATTCAAGAACCCTAAATCATTTCTCAAAATCTACAAGCAGGGAGTGAAGGATGTCAAGTGGAAGTTCAAGGCTTCGTTCGTTATGGTTCAAGGGTTGTGGAATGTCATTATGGAATGAAATTTCCCATTTGCATTTCTAATAAGTCATGGAGTAAAGGGAAAAACTTTTATGAGTGTTGTCAAGAGAAAGAGATGAGTTCTGATTTTGTAACAAATTTTTAGGGTTTACTGACTTATTAGCCTAATGATTTAATTTTTTGTATGTTGCAGAATCGGTGTATTTTTCCCCAAATGGTGGACAAGGAACAAGACAATGAATGTATTGATGAAGACTTGAAATTTCAATTGGAAATGTTGATGATCGAAAATAGGAATTTGAAAAATAAAAACTGGTAATTGAAGGAAATTGTAAAATCATATAAAACAAAATGTGCAAAGAGGAGGATAGATGCTTTATTATATAAGATAGCATTCTTTAATTATTGGATAGTGTACTTCATGGTGAAATTTGGTCTTTAATGATGATGGTCTGACAATTGCTATGTGCAAAGAGGAGGAAAATTGTTAAGTTTGTGGGTTTCTTGTAAAGTTGGTGTAGTTGAATGAAATTGTAGTTATTGTAACGTTGGTGTGACAATTGTTATGTTAGAAGATAATAATAGTTTAAAATTGTTTTTATGAAAATCTTCTGTTTTTGTGTGTGGAAATTGAATGTTAGCATATGTTTATAGTCCATTGATACGTTATTGTTGATTGAGTTGGGTATATAAATAGGTGGAAAGTAATAGGAGTAAAAGAAAATGTTTCATATAGTGAAGTGGTTTATTAAGTCTTAATAGATTAGATGTTAAACGATTCCTATGCTAGATAGAAGTGCATGTACTTAATGCATTCACAATCAAAATATCCTTGCTTGCTTGTTTGTAGTGGTTGAATAACGTCTCATGAATGTTTACCTTTATCCATTAGATTTAGTTTCTTTATTTTAAGTTCATCGCTACCACATTTATTTACGGCCACATCCAACTTATCTAAACTATATTTTCTTCTTACTTAACATAAATTGCATCAACAACAACAGTAGATCTTCAACACTGTTCCCTGTGAGATTGTATTTGTTTCTACCATACAATTATCATTTTACAAAATCATATCTAACATTATGTTTTTATTTTATTTTGGTCACCCACAATTAAAAATTTAACAGAATTGCTAACATGATAATTTTTTTTTACTTTTTTAAACGATGATATGGCATTATCTTAGTGTGACATGTCATCATCACCATTAACGGTGGGTGGTTGAAATGAAACTAAAACTGTAA